TAACATGAATGTCTTCTCAACAAAAGTCAAATATAGTTATGACAGAAGACTTACAGGTAAATCTTCTCAACAAAAGTCAAATATAGTCATTTGCAAAAGTAACCTACGCACACTTACATCGACAGCGAGTAGACTTAATGTAAAGGTGAGAAAACTTTCAGGTAAGTCTTTCATGTAAGTGTGAGAAGACTTTCAGGTAAAACGAGAAATTGATATAATGTTTGGTGTTATCAAATTCAAATAGTTTAGAGAGAGGTTAGATAATTTTAAAGTGAAAAATATTACATTTTTTTGACTCCATTTGAGAGATAGAAAGAGAATGTGTAAATTTTTATTTATATATGAAGACAAAAATTCCAATTAGATTAAAAATGTTCGATACAGAAGGCTTATATGAACGTTTTCAAAAAAGTCTTCTATACTCTAAATTTACTATTCAGCCAGTAGACTTACTTTGAAGAATTACTATTCGCCGAGAAAACTTACTATTCACCCAGAAGACTTACTATTTTCCCAAGACTTATTATTCGCCTAAAAGACTTACTTTAAGTGGGAAACCTAAACTCTTTTAAACTTTTAAGCGGGAAACTATTGTTAAGTCATCTAGAGTCTTCTAGTGTAGTATATCTTCCAATATTTAAGTCTTCCAAAACCCTAAAATCAAATATAAAACTAAATCACAGACAAAAACTTTATTAAACTCAAAAATAAACTTATTAAGTGTTCAATATACACAAAACTAAACACATATAGGTCAAATTTAGTTTAAAAAAATTAAGATTCCACGGTCTAACCTTAAAACACATGCAATTCTATAACATAGTTACAAAACCCTAAACCAAAAAATATCATGACTAACTTACATTCACTCATCTATGTCAAAATAATTCGATATTATTAATGTAAATTTATATCACTTACAAAGGTCTATAATTAGATGATTATGATTTTCCCTACCAAAATATTTCTTTATGAAATTTTATAAATTATTTTAAGAACTAAAACACTAGAAGACTTTCATTGGAAGATTTAAGGAAGACTTATGGAAGACTTATCGGAAGAATTATTTGAAAATTTAATTTTAGGCAGTAAAACCTAAATTATTTTAACATGTTAAGCGGGAAAATGTTGTTAAGTCATCCAGTAAGTCTTCTAGTGCTTTATATGTTCGAAAGTTTCAATCTTCCAAAACCCTAAAATCAAATATATAACTAAATTACATACAAAATCTTTATTACACTTAAAATAAACTTATAAAGCGTTTAATATACACAAAACTAAACATATATAGGTCACATTTAGATTTAAAAATAAAATTGTTAAGATTTCTCAATCTAACCCTAAAACCACATACAATATTACAACATAGTTACCAAACCTTAAACCAGAGAATATCATGACTAACTTAAATTCACTCATTTATCTGGAAAACTATAGAGTTTTATTAAATCTAAAGTTACATAATTTATAAATGTCAATAATTACATGACATGATTTTTTACTAATCAAAATATTTTTTTATATAATTTATAAATTAGTTATCTACAACATGAGAAGACTTACCTGAAAGTCTTCTCACTCGCAAGATTATAATGGTAAACTACAATCATGTTTTTTGTTTGATCATGAGGGGATGTTTGTAGTTTCACTACCCTTTTGACTTATTCTTGTATTTGATTTGAGTTGGGATATACTTTTGCATTTAAAATGAAGTTTTGAGTCATATTTGGAAAATCCCCCAATAATATATTTATTTTAAAATAATATTTATATATTTATAATATATATTAATAATATATTTGTTATTAAAAATAATAAATCTTAGTCATTATAGAAATAAAATTATAGTTTATGTGTGAACTATTATTATTTTTAAAAATGGAAAATTTCTTTTTAAAATATTAAAGTTTTGGATATAAACATAATTTTTAATATTATATAATAAGAAAAAATATATAATTTATATATAAAGTGTTGTTATTTATTTATTGGTAGAGCAGTAATTCATATATAAAATTATCATAAAATTAATATATGTTATACAATTTATTTATTAGTCTCTAAGTAATATATATATATATATATATATATATATATATATGTTTATATCTATAATATATGAATAATTAAATATAAATTACAGATATTAACGTAATAACCACAAAAGACCTATGCACTAAAGATGCGATATTTTCGTCTTTATTTGAACATTCGTATACAGTTTCTACTCGAGGAGCACATTCGTATCAGGAAGATTTAACCCTTTGACAAGTCACATTTTCCATGAGATCTGGTTTAGAGAAATCAGAATTTGGTAACTTAGTTTGAGTTAGTTTAGGTAGATCATTTACTGTGTTAAAAAAGGGTAAGTAATTTATTATGGTTATGTTTATAGATAGATGAGCTTTAGTATTGGCAATAGCTTATATTATATTTGACTGTAAAAAATTAAAATATATAAATATATATGTTTTATATAGTAAAGTTTTATTTTAGTTAGACCACTTATATAAATTTTCTTTGGACACAGAGTAATGGGGATAGGAAATATGCTGATATGAGAAATATTGATATCGAATAAGATAAATGTGAACAAATGAACCGTGAAAAATATAAACATGAATAAAGAATGATATATGTCCTAAATAGATAAGGATCTATATTTCATGGATTTAAAACTAGAAATATTAATATTTTTGCATCACTATTGGAAACAAACTGTGTTATTTTTATTTCCGAGTATGAGGGTTTAATTAACTTAAGAGTTACTGATAATTTTCTTTGCTTGTGTGTTTCGAGTGTTGCAAGCTTAAGGACTAACGGATTTTTTTTTTTGTATTTTCATATATAATAGTAAAATTTCCTAAACTAACACTTTCTTAGTATTACTTTTCATTTTTACTTTAACTATATTTACCTTTGATTGTACAGAGATAAATAGACATTTATAACCAACCATAAGATTAATTAATCTAGAGTTAGTGTTTAGATTTGAGGGGTGGAGTTTTGGAGGGTAAGATTTAGAATTTTAATAAAAATACAAATAAATGCTTAAATTAAAACAAAAAAATTAAAAATAATTTCAAAAAGTATTTTCGAATCTGAAAAAGAATATCTGAAAAATATATTAAAAAAATTCGAAAAAACTATAATTTGAAAATTTATAATTCGGAAGCTTATATAAATATATATTTATTAATTATATATATATATATATGTAAATCAAGAGTATAAATGTTTTTTGCCTCCTTAATGAAGTCTCATACTTAGGTATTTTTTAAATTGTCCATTTAGAAAAGGTATACGTGGATAATGGTACAAAATGGAAGGTAAAAGCGATTTCCCCTATATTAAAAGTATTTTTAATTTGATGAGAAGAATATAAATTTATATGATTAACTATTTAAAATAATATTGATAAAATTTAAAAGTATTTTAAATTGAGGCACTTGGTTTAACTCAATTAGACCAAGTTAGTTATAAACTCTTCAATGATTTTCCCATCTAGATCTATGAACCACCAAGTATGTGTTATTTTCCATTTCAAGTATGATTACTTATATTAATTATAATTTATAAAGTAATTTATATATTGGTTATCTATCTATATTTATTGATTGATATAATTATGATTTATTTTGAAGAAAATGTGAGTATTAGAAGTAAATGCAAAAGGTTTGAATATAGTTAGATATTTTAATTTTTAAAAACATGTTAGCCAATGTAAAACCAAACATTCAATCCGGTTTTGATTAAATCTGGTTTGAATATATAACTATATCTTAAAAATGTTAGTATGGTTTTATTAAAAAAAGTAAAGATAGTTTTTAATAAGGAAAATTAGAAAGTAAAAACTAAATAGTAAATAAAATTTTGAGAGAGTATATGATATATGTAAATGGTATAAGCTATTAGATGCTACAATATGAATGGCTTTTATTTATGATAAAAAAAATTAGTTAATTTATGCATAAATATAGGAATGGTATGGTCTGTAAATAATTTTAAAAGCAATTAAGAATTCTAATAGGATTTCTGATTTATTTTTGTTCAATTTTATGAATTTTATTTAATTTGTTTTAAATTTTCAGATTTTTATTTAATTTTTGCTATTTCAAATTATTTTTTATAAATTATTTTTTATGTTATGATTTTTTTAAATATTTTTTGAAAATTTAGTTGATTTTTTTATTTATTAAATTTTTATTTAAAAACAGATAAATTACATGTTTTACCTGTTCAACAGATTATATTTTCAAGTTCAAGGTTTTTTGTGACGCAAATATCATTTTGAACGTTGAAAGTACTAGTGAAAAAACTTCAAGGTTTAAAGTGCTAGTAAGTGTCATTTAAAACTTTTTTTATGCGATTTTTCCGATTTAATAATATAGATATTCACAAACCAGTTTAATTGCTTTGTTTGATTTATTGCTTTATTATATTTGCCTAGTGTAATATATAATCTATGTGTGATCCATGCTACATGTGGATACGATTTCTAGGTATTACAATCGATCTCTTAATAAAAGTTGATCTAGGGTAATTTTACCATCATTATCAGAATATGAAAATCTATAAAAGGTTATAAGAAATTCAAAGTACAGAAGTCATCTAAATAATGATTCATGGTTTTAAATTAGAATGATTAACTAAAATGAAATATTAATATTTTCTTAAAGAAATGCTATTAACAGCTGACTAGTCGGTTGATCTGATTACAAAAATTATTTTAGTGGTACGCAACCCCATGAGCAAGCGGACCCTACTCGGTAAAAGACATAGAACACAACCCTACATGGAAATTCCCAAATCCTTTGCATTGCATATAATAAATTTGCCCTTTAACTCTCATCCTCTCCTTAGGCTTATTATCTTTCCCATTTATTTTAATTACATAAATTTTATGATCCCTTAGTATAGTTGTTCAAGTACACAATACCCGTTTTTAAGGCAAGTGTCTGCTAGAGAGACAGAGAGAGAGAGAGAGAGAGAGAGAGAGAGAGAGAGAGAGAGAGAGAGAGAGAGAGAGAGAGAGAGAGAGAGAGAGAGAGAGAGCTTTTCACCTATATAATTGATTTCATCTTCTATCTATTCCTCAAAACAAAACAACCTGTTTGGGCTGGTTTCTCCGATCGATCATGGCTACCACCACAACGGCAGCTGAGCAACTTTGCTATGTTCCATGTAACTTCTGCAACATAGTTCTTGCGGTATGATTGCTTAGCCATAGTGGATCTGCATGTTTTCTACAACATCTTGTATCCAAAGATATAGCCAGGCATATTAGATCTACCTTTAATTTCTTTGTACTATATAATGGTTTCTGATAAAGTATACTGCGTCTCTTTGCATCAGTTCCACTATCTTACTGACGTTCAGAATTCTTATCAGTTAAAAATCTGTCTAATTTATTTTCGTCAGTAGCAAATATTTGGCTTTGCTTATGGTGCCAGAGAGAAGTCACCATCCTATACATGACTTTTTCACCCATCATATAGATTTATCTTTTCTCTTTTCTTGCTTTTCTCAAGAAATTTAAAATTTAAGTTGTGAAATTCTGTAAGGTCCTGCATTTGTGTATCCCTAATAACTATGGGTAATAAAAAGAGAAGATGATCATCTACCTCTTGGCACTAGTTTTGTTAAATGATAAGAATTGATTGCATTAATTTCAGTAATTTTTTTTTGTCTTTTGCCTTGCAAACCGCAAAAATCATAGGAGTGTCTAATCTTATATTAACAGGAAAAACAAGTACTTACTGTTCTGCTGAATAATTGTCATATAAGCTTATATGACTATATCTTGTGGATCTAGGCAGTATCCAAGAAAGAAAATCCATTAATTTTAATCTAATGAGATATTTGTTTTGGTTAAATTGTGAAGGTAAGCGTCCCATGCAGCAGTCTGTTCGACATCGTGACTGTCCGATGCGGCCACTGCACCAATTTATGGTCTGTAAACATGGCAGCTGCTCTTCAGTCGCTTTCACGCCCTAATTTCCAGGTCTTTATCTCTCCCTCTCTTCACAATTCCCAAAATTATAGGGGTTGTAACTTTTAAAAAAATGCTATCTGAAATTTAGGGCTGTTTTGTTTCTTTTTGAAAATGATATACACAGAGATCTGAGCTTCTTGTTGCATGTTTCTGCCTCCAGCCGCCGTCTACATCTGCATAGCCCCAACTAAATTTATTACATAATTAAATCTTTTGTAAATATATATAATTTTCTTTTTCTAGCTATGACTGATATCTGCACCCTTTTCCATAATTAATTTTCATAGAGCCCTAACTCATGTTTTGATCTGAGTACTGATGTGGGCTGCATCCTCTTTGATTTGATTGACATGAATGTTAGGGTTTCATTAGTTTGCTTTTTTCTCTTCTTCTAAATATATTCTCGGATTCCTTTCTTTAAAGGTTTTGTCTTTTACTACTCTATAACAATTTATAAAACGTCCTCTAGTTGGTCCACTTTGTTTTCTCTCTTCATTTCCTAAATTAGACAATACATATATGATTGCTACTCAATCCTTATGATTCATCATTTTAGCCTAAGTTATTTATAATAAAGGTGGCATTTTATATATTTATTAATCGAAGACTGAATATGAAATATTGACTAGGCAACACCCTATGCAATGCCAGAGTATGGATCTTCCTCAAGAGGCCACACCAAAATTTCTTCCAGAATTTCAGCTCGTACCATTACTGAGCAAAGAGTTGTAAACCGTCGTACGTGACAAGTTCATTTTATATTATATTTAAATAAGTAAACATAGCCCTTTGTCCAAAAAAAAAGTAAACATCCAGAATTATTTATGTTTAGTTCTTATATTGTTGTTCAGCTCCGGAGAAGAGACAGCGAGTACCTTCAGCCTACAATCAATTTATAAAGTAACAAAAAAAAACTTTACACATTTATATATTGATATAGTTATTTTTTATAATATTCGAAATCTGTTAAGATTGAAGTCATTGATTTGTGGCTGAAAATTCTGAAGAGAGGAAATTCAGAGGATCAAGGCTAATAATCCAGACATAAGCCACAGAGAAGCATTCAGCACCGCCGCTAAGAACGTAAGTTTTCATTTTTGTAAAAGGTCTCATTTTTATTTTTAAAACATGTCTTTCTTTATCGCTAAAATATATCTAATCTATTAAAAGAAGGGAAGTACATTAGAGGTTGATTTTTTTAAAAGTCCAAATAAATAATGGAAATAATGACCATTTACAAGTTCCAGTTACTTTTTCCGCATTTTTACTACTAGCTGCATAACCTCCGCGCAAGCGCGGGGGCGGGATCTGTGTTTTTTCCGGTTGTTGATTTAGTGGATTATTCTAATAATACCAAATAATGATAAAATGGAAAGAATGTAACAAAAGTGCAAAGTGAAAATATTGTATATATAATGTGTTAAATGTTATTTATATGCGAAATAAGGTTTATAGGAATAACTAAATTATAATATAGTTTTTAGTGTATAAAAATAGATGTCTATATTGTTTTTTTTTTTATGTTGGAAATAGTTTTTATATCGGATATCAAAACTTGATATAAATATTTATTTATAATATTTACATTTGTACTAAACGATTTATCAATTTGAAAATAACTTTAATTTAAGCTAATATTTGTTGTTTGGGTTTCAATAGATATGTTTGGATATGTTTTTTTGTAAGTTTGGATTTTGTTCATGAATAATGNTATAATATTTACATTTGTACTAAACGATTTATCAATTTGAAAATAACTTTAATTTAAGCTAATATTTGTTGTTTGGGTTTCAATAGATATGTTTGGATATGTTTTTTTGTAAGTTTGGATTTTGTTCATGAATAATGTGGTATTTTTCTTTACGGCGTCATCGAGTGTGGAAATCCATCCGCCGGAGTCTGATAAAAATGAAATTATAGTAACTATTAAAAATTTAAAAGAAATTACATAGTTATTTTATAAATAACAAAACTATTTATTTTATTTTATTTCACATACATAATTTTTTGAAAATATATATTAGGAAATATGTTCTAACAGTAAAAATATATATTAGGACATGATAGTGCCGCGTGAGACTCGTTTTTTTTTCTTTTTTTCTGGATATTCGTTTTTTGATCCATTTTAAATTGTTTTTGGGTTTGAGTTCGTCAAACTTTAGGATTTTTCCACTATTTTGGGCTTTAAACAATAAGTTCAGAGAAAACAAAAACATTAAAACTAAAAAGCCCATATGATAATAATCTAAACGAAAAAACTAAAATACATAACAACTGCGTGGTTTGAACCCACACACTTGCAGACTTAATTAAATGTCTTATACCACTTTGCTAAAATGAATTCATTGTTTATAGTCATTTTAAAAAACCTATAAGCTTTTAAATTTTAAATACATGGGACCCACTCAGCTGCTGATGTGGATAGCCTTATGAGCTTCAAAAGTGAATCATTATTATATAGATTGTTAGATAAAAGGTTAAAAATTCATCAAGATGGTTTGCCAATCACATCCCAACAATAGTCTTTTTGTATGTACATGTGGCACGTACGTACTTATCCTTATAAGTACTTTTCTTGTATGTTATTATAGGGTTATATAAATGTACTTTATCTATTTAGGTAATATTAAATTAGTGTATTAATTTGATTTTGTATTAAAATTAAACGCTTAAAACTCTATTGTACCACTAAAATATTTAGACAGTTGTAGAATTAACGTGTGTAAGACCACCTCCAATGGAATATCTATTCATTAAAATTTTAAAATGATATATATATATATGTATGTATTATATATGTATATATAGATGTAGGGTATACTAAATAGTATAGAATTGGTTCTAAAAACAAAAATTTTAGAACCAGTTCCACACTATTTAGTGGATCCCATATCTATATATACATATATAACACATACATATATATTTTATAAAACAACGGTTCTCTATAATTTTATCCCCCACTCTCCTAATTTTAATTTTTTAACATTATTTTCGGTGAGAATTATGGGAAGAGCTTCCCACTAAAGATGCCCTAATATTCTTGTATGTATATATAGGTGTTCTATATGTACGCATCTCTGATATTTTGTTAAGACAATTTTAATAAGCAATATTATTATTAAACTGATTTCACATATGGTAGTGGGCACACTTTCCTCATATTCACTTTGGTCTAATGGTGGAGAGCAACAAGCAAGCTAAGCGAGCTTAATAATGTAAGTGTTTTATAAATCTATCATTCTAGAGATTTCCCGTAGTTATAAATTATATTTAAAATTAACTTCAAAATCTTACTTTTACTTCTCTGTTTTAGTATAGGTGTGTATGATAACAAGTGCTGAAGCTTTGAAGTACAAGGGGACAAGTGCTGAGAAGACAACTATTTATCAAATGTTATATTTATCATTGAGAAGCTAAATATCACTCACTAGGTATATATTTTATGATCTTGGGGAACCGTCTGATCATATCTATATATAAGTGAAGATATCTATCATTAAAACCAGACTAAGATATATTTTATTAATAAGCTGATTATGATTTATTTTGTATGGCATTTGTGTGGTTTGTGTCACAAGATGTATGATTTCCTGTAACCCCTCTATGTATCTATGTTTTGTCAACAATCCCTCCATACATCTATACCATTAAGTGTTTACAAGTACAGAAAGTAAGTATTTTGCATTGAAAAAAAAAAAAGTATTTTGCTTTGATAATGGTATCCATACTCAAATTACTATTTGATTGAAGAAAAATATTTCTAAAAATGGCAAGGAAACTTTTTCCGAATCCATAAGAAGTTAGCGCGAGAGAGAGAGAGAGAGAGAGAGAGAGAGAGAGAGAGAGAGAGAGAGAGAGAGAGAGAGAGAGAGAGAGAGAGAGAATCTTTCTGGAAGTGGATCACCGGAGCTCGCCAAGACCACCGCACGCCAAGCCCTCTCCGACCTCGTCCCCACCTTTCGTCGCAGCTGAGAATCGCCAGAAACCACCATGGATGGAGCTTTTTTTCTCCGTTTAGTAAATCTTGAAATAACTTCTGAACCGCTGAGAATCTCGTGCATGCAAGGCCACCACCGTGTTCTACTCGTCAAGACGAAGTCGTATACACCGACCACGCCTCAATCGGAATCCGGATGAAGCAACACGTGCCTCCTGAAGGTTGGCCGAGCACGCGTGTGAAAAACACGCGCAGCGGCCGGAGATCGTCTCTGCCGCCGCTCCGTCGCCGGACCACCGCTGGACTGCTGCTGCTTCGCTGCCGGACTACCGTCGCCAGTGACTCGGCCAACTCGGCCGGGTCAACCCAACTAGTCAACTCGGTTGACTCAGTAAACTGGTGGGTTGACCGGTTCAGTTCAATTGTGTTTTGGTTAAGGTAAACCGGTGGTTAAAATCAATTGAATTTTGGTTAGGAATAAACCGGATTGTAATTGATTTGAATCTGGTTTGATTGAAATTGAATTCGGTTAAGGAAAACCGGTTGGTCCAATTCGATTTCAATCTGGTTAAGGGTTGACCGGCCTGGGTCAGAGTTTACCGGGTTTACCTTTGACCAGGGGGTTGACTTTTCCGTAGACGCCTATTTTTGACCGTTTGAACGGCGTTCTGACTCAGAATTTCGATATGATTTCAGATTTGAGATCTATTTAAGCAGCTGGAGATCATAGATACCACTTTTCTCAATTACTATGGTGAGGGTCTACTTCCGAACGTTCCGTACGAGACTTAAAACTTTAAATAAATATATTTTATTTCTATTGTGATCCGTCTGCGTGAAATCGAATCTGTCATTGCTTGTTTAGTTATTTAGGTTGCTTTCTTAAACCAGAATTAGGTTGTTAGAGGGTTCAACATTGATTGCTTCGCTTAATGTAATCATTTAGTTAGAATTTCTTGGGACGGGTACAGAGACGTAATTCTGTATGATCGGGGGTATGTGGGCTACGGACAGCTGCAGTAGACCGGCTGGGTCGTAGTTCGTTAGGTCGATAAATCATCTTCCGGCGGTGTTACTGGGTACTATCCCAGTGTTTGGTCTGTTAGTGGGCAGCGAGTATGGGGCTCGCTAGGACCATTGTTTGTTTGCTTGGGTACTTTAGGTACCGTGTTTGACATGCATTAGAGTTAATTTATATTTATTCGGAGTGCTATGTCTGGGTCTACGGACTTCGGGGTTACATCCCATACCTCACTGAGCGACTCCCCAGTTGCTCACCCCTGTTTCTTCCCATTTCAGGTGAGACAATCAACCATGTGATATTTGGACGGACTTGGTGCTACCGGACTTTTTATTTGGATTTTTTTTCGGGCTTGTGTGAGAGTAGTTGGGCTTATGGACTTTTGTATTTTTGAGATATTGTTCGTGACCCGTCATCCCTAGAGAGAGGGAGACGGGTGTCACATTGTTATTTGATGACGCGTCGGGGATGATACGCTGTACTCCAAGTAGGAGGTGATGGATGTTATAGTTTTGGTATCAGAGCGGGTTCCATCCCGGGATGGCGGCCAGGGGATTCGATTTTCAACATTTTCAAAAAGAATATATAATAATAATAATAATAATAATAAAGTATTTTGAAAATTCTTTTAGCACCATTCTGTCTAGTAACCACTAACCTCAATTGTCTCTTTTTATAAAGATGAGTAAAATCACCGTCATTCGTCTTTCGGTTAGTAGAGGTCTACCAGATGTTCAGCAGAGATGTGATGCCGCAGTTTTGTTAGAGTTCGTCGAGGTTCATTTTTTTCTTCATTCTTTCTCCTATGTTGTACAGGAGTGGAGATGTGACGTTTTTGCCATTACCCAATTTCAAGTCGTCGCTCCACGAGTTTCTGACGTATGATTTTTTGTGATGTGAGTTTTGAGCCATGGATTGGCGTGTGTTGTTGTTGTGTACGAGTGTATTGACTATTTTGGAGATATGCTTTGTTTGTAAACTCGTGGAGATCGCTTTTGAAATTAGGGTGTAGCATATTGCGTTATGGTTATATTGGAGTTACATTTGGCATGTTTTCCGGTTTTTGGTTTTGTTGACCGCTTCAGAGACGTGTCAGCTCAGTAAGCTGGCATAAGATGTGGGGAGCTATTCATGTTCATCGAGTTTTACTAGTTATGTTTTGAGGTCGCGTTATTTAGAGATTCGCCAGAGATGGAGCTGAGTTTTACGGTGCCAGTTTTGAGATATAATGATTGTCCTGATATCAAGAAGTATTGAGTTGCTGAAGGCAATGGTTTATATTCTTCGAGGAGATGAGAATTTTATTGTTTTCACGCTACATTTTGAGGAGTTATTGGATAGCAGAGCATATGGATTTTTGGAGATCGTTTTAACGGTTACGGATGATGGATAACATGAGCTGAATGATCTTCTAGTTATTGTCGAGTAAGAGGATGTATTTTGATGTTTTAGAAAGGGTATCCCAGTCAGACACTTTTGCGATTGAGTTGGAAATAGAGAGGTAGCACCGGTTTCATGATTTATGTACTGATTAGCGCCAGTAGAGATTGCCGAGATGAAGAGTCACATAGAAGATTGATTTAGCATCGGGGTATCACCAGATCGCCAGCAGAGGAGGATGTGTGGAAGACAACCTCCCGTACACGTTATGGGCATTATGAGTTTGTAGTAAGAACATTTGTACTGACGAATGCACCGGCAGTATGCATGAAGCTTGTGATTGTTGCGTTCTGGGAGTATTTGGTTAAGTGTGATCGTTTTCATCGAAGATATCCTAGTTTATTCTTGGAGCAGAGAAGAGCATGCAGAGCATTTGCAGATTGTATTAGGAAAACTGGGAAAGCATCAGATATTTGCTACGTTGAGCAAGAATTGTTTCTGGCAGAGGAGGATTAGATTTATGAGACACGTGGTTTCAGAAACAAGATTTGCTATAGATCCGGAAAATATTAGCGCAGTCCCAAAGTGATTGACACCTAAGAATGCTGCTACAAAGATCCGTAACTTTGGTGAGTTAGCTACACAGATGTTCGTCATTTTCAGAGGTTTAATTGAATCCAGTGTATCATCAGATTACTATAGCTTGGAAATATGTACGGACTATAGTTTCACATATAAGATGTATATTTGAAAAAAATATTAATGGGTTGAAGAATTCACGGATACCATTCATGGAACTTAAGGATAAATTCTTTTGCGAACACTTGGATAAGTGCATGGTTGTATTCATCGTCAACATCCTGAATATTGTTGGAGTAGAGAGAAGTAAGATGAACATAGGCGGATTTTTGTATTTAATACAAGAAGGTTAGATCATTGCATCTGCAGCGAACCAGATGTAGATTACGAATATGGAGAATTTTGGAATGGAAGTTAGAGATTTTTGGAGTGATCACCAAAGTTGCCTTTTACATTTACTATAGAGTATCTATGTGTAGATGCATTAGCGTGGTGGGAGAAAGTATGAATAAGCCACTTTGGACCTAACCGACTTACCTTGAGGATTTGTTAGAGGTGTCATTTCGGAAGGAAATCTGATCATAAAGTTTTTGGATAGAATGCAAGTAAAGATTCACACATGAATGGTGTCGTCGCTTACTTCAGATTAAAAGATTCAGTGGAGAAAGCTACCGAGCAGAGAATGAGTCTGAGTTATTGAAGTTGACCCCGTTACCAAAACCTTCATAAAGAGAAGTGTATTAAGATTTATGTTGTGGTCAGTTGGAGCATATTTTGAGGTCAAATATTCAGTGCACAATTTGGAGTTAGCAATAGTTGTATCGGTTTTACAGTTTTGGAGATCATCATTGTGTGGGAACGAAGTTCAGATTCATCGGGATCATCATAGTCTGGAATATATGTGCATTCTTTAAAAAATATGTAGCAGTCTAGGACGTGCAAATGGATTGAGTTGGTAGCAGTCTACAATTTGAATATCGCACGCCATCTGGTAAGGCCAACCAGGTGGTAAATTCCTTAAATAGCTACATGAGAGATGTGCCAGGAACCACAGAGGATCAAGAGTTACTGGAACACTTACAAGCCTTAAGATTATGTGGAGTTCAGTAGAGGAGGATACAGTCGGCATTGGAGCATTGGAGCATTGGAGCGTTGGAACATACAAATTTACTATAGATATTACACCAACTCAAGATAGCGATATGGTTTTGGTTAGGTGTATCGAGGTTAAGAGTGTTGTATATCATACAGTTTTGAAGCAGGATGTTCTTGTATAAGAATCGAGTTGGTGTGTTGGATGTTGTGCTGTTAAGAAAAAGGATCTTACTGCAAACACATCACTCGCGTTTCTATGTCCACCCGAGGAACACATAGGAGTACAAGATATGAAGTGTTACTGTCATTAGACTAGTTTGGAAAAGATTGTAGCTTTGCGTCGCAGTGTCGGATGGATATGTTTGAGGACCGGGTACCTATTCGGTTATTGTTAAGTTTGCTTTTGCCAGAGTGGAAACGTAACATGGTAATTATGGATATTGATACTGGATTGTCGATCATCACCTGTGGACAGAATATCATATGAGGAATTGTGGATGTATTCACTAAATCATATATCTTTCAAATAATTCTAAAAGCAGTTGGAGCTGGTCAGTCGGTGCAGACATAAGAGAGAGATTGTGATGTTGTATGGACTTCTCGCAAGCATTGTATATGATATACCATGGTTTTGACCCATTTTTAACC